GAAGAATAATGTCCTTTGTTCTGATTGTGAAGAGGAAAAGATCCAATTTTACCTCCATTTCCACTTCAGGGTTATTCACAGAAATTAAATGTACTCGTACAACTTAATTAGGGGCTTTGAATAAAATCAAGAAGATTAAATTGAATTCATGTTCTTATCTAAATGAACTAAGACTGAGGAGCTCATACAGAGATTTTTGACCATTTAATTCAGCTTTATGTCTTGTTACTTGTGTGCTGAACACACACGAAAAAGTTTTGAAGAGTTGCCGGTAGCCATTGACTTCCATAGTATTTTTTCCCCTACAGTGGAAGTCAATGGCTACCGGCAACTATTTAAAATATAGATACTCAAAAGAAACTCATACAGGTTTGGAACAACTTGAGGGTGACTAAATATAACAGACTAGTAATTTTTGGGTGAACTATCTCTTTAATAAATACATGCATTACTATGACCCTCGACCCTTAAAGGAACGCTCCACTATTTTTGAAAATAGGCTCATTTTCCTACTCCCCTAGAGTTAAACAGTTGAGTTTTACCGTTTTCGAATCCATTCAGCCGATCTCCGGGTCTGGCGGTAGCACTTTTAGCTTAGCTTAGCATAGATCATTGAATCTGATTAGACCGTTAGCATCTCGCTCAAAAATGATTTAAAAATAAAAATAGTCCCCAGCATGCTCCCTGTGCAAGCAGGTGGTCACGCTGGTTATGTTGACGGAAGTTAGCCTATTTTCAGGCGCTGCGTAATATCATTGCGCCTGCTGCACCCATGGTACGGCAGCAAAGTTCATTGATTATTACGCCGGAATGAGAGTATAGTTCCTAGCCATATCGGCCTAGAAAATCGCAACTTTTCATTTTCAGTCGGTCTTCGTACACAATGTAACTACAGAAGGGTCAAGTTTTTAATAGGAAAAATATAGAAACTCTTTGGTCTTTTTTGAGTGAGATGCTAACGGTCTAATCAGATTCAATTATCTATGCTAAGCTAAGCTAAAAGTGCTACCGCCAGACCCGGAGATCGGCTGAATGGATTCGAAAACGGTAAAACTCAACTGTTTAACTCTAGGGGAGTTGGAATATGAGCCTATTTTCAAAAATAGTGGAGTGTTCCTTTAATATATCATATTCGACAGTCTTTCTAATGCAACACAGGACTCATGTTGTACAAGTGTTTCTTACAGAAACCATGCATTAATCTATTTCAGTGTACGTCTACTGCTTTGACTTGGTCATAGTCTTACAGCAACTAAACTGCGATCAAGCATTCATAGACTAAAAGGCTAGGAACATAAGGAACATAAACCGGTCATCATATGCTGTTTGTGAAAGAACTAAAGTCTTTGACCCTGTAAATCAGTGTGCTGAGAACCTCCCACAACGTTTTGAACTTCTTGTGCTGAAATCAGAGAGTTTGAAAAACAAATCTGAGCTTTCAATTTTGATCATTTCATTTGATGAATGTTTTTTTCTACTCCTCTCTGCTTCATCCAGTTTCAACAACTGGAATTCATCAGCTTCACTGGAGCAGGAGACTCACATGAGATCTCTCTCACTCTCGCTCTCTTCCTTATACAGTATAACAAATGCTGGATTTAATTTCCACACAACACTGTCTGACCACCACAACTTCAGCCAAAAGTCACAATAACAGTGAAGCTGAGGTTTTGTGGAAAACAGGCTCGATGGCAATACTGGTTTTCTGTCTATAAAACATTGATATATAATGCTGTGCAAAACTTTTTTTTAAAGAAGAAAGAAGAAAGACATTTAAAGAAATTAATATGCTTATTTATTAAGAATGTAACTGATCAAAAGTGAAAGTAAAGACATTTATAATGTTACAAAAAAATATATATTTCAAATAAATGCTGTTCTTTTAAACTTTCTATTGAATCCTGAAAAATAAAATGTATCACGGTTTCCACAAAAATATGAAGCAGCACAACTGTTTTCAACATTGATAATAATCAGAAATGTTTCCTGAACAGCAAATCAGCATATTAGAATGATTTCTGAAAGATCATGTGACACTGAAGACTGGAGTAATGATGCTGAAAATGTATCTTTACATCGCAGGAATAAATTACATTTTAAACTATTTAAATGTGGCCCTTAAAAGACATTACATCTTCTCTTTCCTTGATAACAGCTAGATATTGATTATGTCTAAAAAAATAGATCTGATTACATGACTAAAATTTGGACTCAGAATTTGTACAATGTAAACTTTGTCCAAGCTCAGAACTGAAAATGCAATTTTTGTGTCCTGTCTCATATAAGAAAACAAGATCTGGGCCGCATTTAGCAGCATTGTGCATGTAGCCTATAAGAAGTCTATAACTTCAAGGTCACTTACACTGCAACTTTAAACACGCCGCAAATTCTGAATGTTTCCTTTTTTCCTCTTCACGCTCTGGTTTACATTCACACATGCTCTGTGTTACCAGAGAAGGGTTTTCAATCACTCTCACCATGAAGATCAATGTCAACATGAATATAAAACCAGAGGTGAGTTCTCAGACGTTACACCTCACGCGGTGACCTCAGTTACGTCATTACTGCTCACCTACCCTTCAAACCTACACTCCCACCATCTAGCTCTCTGGATGATATGCTGCACGACAAATGAAGAACATGGGAATCGGCAGATTCAGTAATTAGACTCTGTTGTGGTGTTTTGTCACCCCCGGCATGAAGCTGTCAGAGCGAATGTTCATTTGCATTCAAAAACAGCACAGGCAAGGGTTCGTTTGACAGGAGCTTCATTACGCCGACCTGATTGACCGCTTCACACTGGTCATACACTTCTGAAACACAGACTTAGAACATCAGCTCAACCTTCAAAAGCAAAATATATGGATTCTTACAAGGCAGAAGGAGACATACTACAGTGCCTTATGTAGGAATCACACACCAAACTAAAATATGGACTGAACTAATAGCTTTTCTGGTATTTTATTCGGATCAACACAATGATGCATGAATGGACAAACCCATTAAATATATACGCTAAATAAGCAACAAACTGTGGCTACATAGTATGTCTTAAGCATATTAGAATGATTTCTGAAAGATCATGTGACACTGAAGACTGGAGTAATGATGCTGAAAATGTATCTTTACATCGCAGGAATAAATTACATTTTAAACTATTTAAATGTGGCCCTTAAAAGACATTACATCTTCTCTTTCCTTGATAACAGCTAGATATTGATTATGTCTAAAAAAATAGATCTGATTACATGACTAAAATTTGGACTCAGAATTTGTACAATGTAAACTTTGTCCAAGCTCAGAACTGAAAATGCAATTTTTGTGTCCTGTCTCATATAAGAAAACAAGATCTGGGCCGCATTTAGCAGCATTGTGCATGTAGCCTATAAGAAGTCTATAACTTCAAGGTCACTTACACTGCAACTTTAAACACGCCGCAAATTCTGAATGTTTCCTTTTTTCCTCTTCACGCTCTGGTTTACATTCACACATGCTCTGTGTTACCAGAGAAGGGTTTTCAATCACTCTCACCATGAAGATCAATGTCAACATGAATATAAAACCAGAGGTGAGTTCTCAGACGTTACACCTCACGCGGTGACCTCAGTTACGTCATTACTGCTCACCTACCCTTCAAACCTACACTCCCACCATCTAGCTCTCTGGATGATATGCTGCACGACAAATGAAGAACATGGGAATCGGCAGATTCAGTAATTAGACTCTGTTGTGGTGTTTTGTCACCCCCGGCATGAAGCTGTCAGAGCGAATGTTCATTTGCATTCAAAAACAGCACAGGCAAGGGTTCGTTTGACAGGAGCTTCATTACGCCGACCTGATTGACCGCTTCACACTGGTCATACACTTCTGAAACACAGACTTAGAACATCAGCTCAACCTTCAAAAGCAAAATATATGGATTCTTACAAGGCAGAAGGAGACATACTACAGTGCCTTATGTAGGAATCACACACCAAACTAAAATATGGACTGAACTAATAGCTTTTCTGGTATTTTATTCGGATCAACACAATGATGCATGAATGGACAAACCCATTAAATATATACGCTAAATAAGCAACAAACTGTGGCTACATAGTATGTCTTATTTAAACACTGCATTTATGCTTTTACAAATATATTACTGCAACACATATGCATGTTTTGGGGATTTTTTAATGGTAAAAAAAAACAATCATAAATTGTTGGACAAAAGTAACTGCCAACACAGATTTCATGCATTTAAAATGGATTCAGATTAGGATGAAAGGAAGTACGTGTACAAAATAAATACCGTGGTATTTTTTAAGTGCCCATGTATATACTGTGGTATCTGCATAGGAGTGCTAGGGAGTCAGTAAAAATTAATAACTAATAATTAATAAATAAAAGTAAACTTAATAAAAATGATTAAAAACAAATAAATAACTAAATAAATAAATAAACCTTAATCATGTAATAGAAAAAAAATATATATTTTTCAAATATTTATAACATTAATTTACATAAAATACAAATACAAACTGGGTCTTTATGCATACAAATACATAGCTGCTTTTTTAATTTTATGATGGGGTCCTTCACAAGAGGATGATCATATTTGGGGTCTGTGGCATTTAAAAGACTAAAAACCCCTGCATAAGCCACGCAAGCCCTGCCATCTAGGAGATTCCTCCATGAGACTGAGCACTAACTCACCCTCTCATTTTTCCCACAGACAGCAGCGTGTGACCGACCAGCCCCACAGGAGCACTGCACGGACCCTCTGCACTGGGAAGACGGAAGAGAGCACTCACGGCACCGGAGCACCTACCTGGACCTTTCTCCCTCGCACCCACCACACCAATAAATCCACCCTCCGGGGTATTGATTGAGATTACTTGTCGTGTGATTCTTCACCCCGTTACAATATATATATATATATATATATACCTACTGTTACTATCATTGTTCTATGGTACCGTGTATGTGGTAAAGTGACAGATTAAAGAAGGACTTACTCATTTTTCTGCAGATCAAGTAGCAGTTGCTCTCCATCCACTTCTATTAGCACCTTCAGTGATCCAGGATGACCCTAAAACCCGACAAAAGAGAATGAAGAAATGCATTTCCTCCTAAACTGAAAACAAATATATATTAAAACATAAGACACAAAATTCACATTTTCTTAAATCACTTCCCAAAGTCGCCACATTAATCGATGGTGAAAAATAAAAAAGAAAAAAGAAAGTGGGTTTAAAATTACGTTGTGCAAAATTAAATAATCGTTGCAGATATTGATCATCCATCAAAATGGTCACAACAAGTGCATTGCATTGTGGGATACAGTATTCAAGTGTGCAGTGGAGCAGTATGGTAGTAACATGCTGTTACAAACACAGTGATAGACTTTTTATGGGTCATTCCAACACAGAAACAAGATGAATGAGCAAGATTTAAAAAATTAGATGAAACCATCTCATTAGACACCTATTGCTGCATTAGCATTTCATCTGCATCCACATATACTTTAGTGGATATAACTGGTTGATTGCCACTTGAAAAGATGACAGCTGATTGGTTGATTACATAATTACACACACCTGTGCGACTTCTGGACCCTCCATAAATACCACATTATGATGGCGAACCTATCTCAGCGCACTTCAATTGTTCTGATGGCTTTTACTTGGTTTTGATTTACTGATAATAATTTGAAATGTTATGTTAGAGTTTATGGTTGCATGACATAAGTAAATAAAGTGCTGGTTTCTTCAAACAAGTCATCTATTAACTCAATTCAGTGATCATTTGTGTGTCCATATTATTAGTGGTTAGTACAAAAACACATATTCCCAATGGATTGAAGAATAAAGATGTGATCGTACATCTTTATTTCCATTAAATATTATGGTTCATTCAGAATGCCTCACATGAAAGTAAAATGGGTTGCAATAGCTGTTTCTTGTTGGCTTAACTTATGTTAGTCGTTATATTCATGGAAGATGAAGTTCTAACCACTGCATTAAAGACAATGCAAGTCCTCAGACCAATAGACAGTGGTGATGCAAAGTCCGATTCATCTCCGCGAACCAGTTGTTTTCGGACAGATCGGCTCATTGAATCGGTTCAAAAAGCCGGTTCATCGGTTCCTGACGTCATCAAGCAATAACGTCTCTACGCATTTCTTTTCTAACAACTCAGTACAATGTTGTGTCAATGAAAAATTCAAATAAGTCATTTGTGTCAACACATATTGAAACATTAAAAAAATAAAGTTATTTGTGTAAAAGCATGTTGATTATTACCATATAATGCAATAAAGTTAATGGTGTTTGTGGTCACAGTTTCATTCGCGGATCCTTTATGTCAGATACGACTAACCGATATTGACTAGCCTACAACTTGGATAAGATTCCTAAAAGATTCGCACCTACAGCACACATTACAGACATTGATGCACAAACGCAGATATGTTCTACATGTCTACAGTATAAAGAATGAATAAACTAGTCT